CGGTTCGATCGGTTCGGTACGCGGCCACAGAATCAGCGATACAAACGGTTCGGTTAGCGATGCTCCGCGGTATGCGGTAAAAGTATTGTTGAAACAGCCATGACCTTATCAAACCCAAACTTAAACCTTATAAGCCTTACACTTATTCTTATAAGCCCTAAACTTCAACCTTAGAAACCTTAAACTTAAACCTTCTAAACCCTATAAACCTTAAACCCAAGTTGAGGAGATGGTTTTAGGCTCTGCGGGTTCAGGTTTGGGGGTTTAGGATGTAGAGTCTTTGGATATGGCGTGTTGGGTTTTTGGGCTCAGGGCTTAGGGGTTTAGGATGTAAAGTCTCTAGGTATTCGGGTTCGGGTTTAGGGGTTCAGGATGTAAAGCCCTAGACCCTAATCCATATAAAGTTTCTATGGATTCGGGTATAGATATAGGGATATGTAGGGTCTTGGGCTTTTAGGGGTCAGGTGTCGGGGCTTAGGATCTGGTCTCGAGGCTGTCGGGGCTCAGGGTCCTGTTTGGGATCTGCAGCGTTTAGACTTAGATAGCCAATAGATGAACTTTAAGCTTTTTGGCCTTCTTTATTAGGTCTATCTTAAAGAGTTTGAACTTTTTTGGGCCTGGTTGTTAAAGAAGAGAGTAGATGCAGGGTTTAGGGTTTAGCGCTTCAGGGTTTTAGGGTTTAGGGCTTTAGGGGTTTAGGGTTTTAGGGTTTAGGGCTTGAGGCTTTTGGGCTTTTAGGGTTTAGGGCTTTAGGGCTCGAGGGTTTAGGGTTTACCTGTGTAGGGTTTAGGGAGGGGGGGTCTGTGGGTTGTAGGTGCCAGGGGGTGGGGGAGGGTTCAATGTACACGTGTCTGGCCCGACTCACAGGGTTGTTCAGAAGATTTAAGCCCTAAGCCCGAAACCCCTAAACCCGAAGCTCTGAACCTGATGACCTTCCAGAGTCGTCTGAAGGTGTGTGTATCACCTCACCAGTGATGTCTCACTTGACAGGTGAGTGGGAGCACGTTCCCACTTAGAAAAACTGATAGCCCAACCCTCCTGCCTTAGCGAGCATTGTAACAGCGATGGTTTTGTTTTAAGGCCCTTTGTTTGTTAATCAGAGGTGTGCGATACAGGACGTCAGGAATAGGGCTCAGGGGCCATACGAGGTTGATTCGGGCATTGCGGTCCTGATTTCAATCTAGCCTCAGCTGAAGTGCTTTAATATAGGGGCCTAAACAATTACCAATACTAATTTGGGAATTGCCAATACTAATTTGAGGGGTCCTTACTGTAATAATCGTAAAATAACCCCCCCAACCTTATTCTAACCACCAATTGATCAAGGCCCCTATATTACTTTCATGGGTTTTTGGGTACTTAGACCTTGCTACATGGGTACTGCCACTGCCACCCTTGGAGTCTTAGCCCCCGTCTACATCAGTGAGGTATCTGCCGCCGGTCGCACCATCACGATGCAGAAAGGCCGCCGGAATTGTCCTTAGCCGAACATAGCGAAATTATACTACAGGCCCACAGAAACAGAATAGTGTTTGGGGTGTACTGGGGATTAGAAGGGACTGCTGCTACTACTACTACTACTACTACTACTACTACTACCACTGACTACTACT